ACATTGACCTTCAGCAGCCTGCCTGGGGTGCCCCCCCGGACACTGAAGTAGAACCAGGACCTACAATGACATGCGATACATTTATCAAGGAATATTTGGTACTTGTTAGATACTACTTTTATACTTTCATATTTTCAAACAAGTTTCAAGGTTAAGAAGCGTAAGTACAGGCAGTTCCTGGCTGATATACATAATCTGTTCCATAACCCTTTACGAACGTCAAATTTACCTTTCCTTGCCATTTTGAAAACCTTACAGCAACAAGTACATAAATCAGAAATATACTAGTTATACATACTAAACAACACATAAAATAAATGAAAAGGAAAAAAATGTAAATTTACGTATGACATATGCCACTTTTTTTGTTAATGTTTTTGTAAACGCTGCGTTAAAATTTGAACATATGCAAATAATATAAGTTGGTTTTATGTAAGTTGAGAATCGCCTGTATGTTTTATTATTGGACTAATGGAACGACAGAGTTTCACTGAACTGCAGGACACAGCTACCTGTTCCCATTTTCAAATTCTGTTTCCGCACAATCAGGTTTAGTCCAGACATTGAACTCATAGTCCGGAAGCCCTCCAGGCTCCCCCGTGATGCTGGGTCCCAATCCAGCACGTTCCCCCTCGGACTGACAGTGATCCACCCTCTCAACCTGGGCCAGGTTCCCAGAGTCAAACTTGGAGCTGAAAGTAAGGTTTCCAAAGCGGAACTCCATGTCTGTGCTTCCTGCACGGAGAATATCCTCAGGCTCATATCCTGTTCCTCACAAACAAGCCACCTCCTAGAGGGAATACAACATGGATAGGTGCAGGAATAAGTTCCTATGCACGGGATACATCTCACTGACAGTGCTTAGGACAAGCTGCTCTGCTGAATTTAGTCACTACCCTGGCACATTTAAACATTTTTAATTCTACTTACTGAGGCAACAGGGAATTATTTCCTCAACCCAGTTAATTTTCTCGGGGAAGTGCATCTTTACCACTTAAACCTGTTATGGAAAAGCAGAAAGTTGAATAAGCACAGCATATGGAGGATACGTTTAAATACATGCGTTTTTATACCAAAAACATTTCAGAGGTAGCTTGGCTATTTAGCGTTTGGAATTTTATCTGGGGAAACAGAGTTGAATTCTGAATGTTCTGCTTACTTTGCTGTGACTGTCCCAAGTGTCCCCATGCCTGTCACCTCCCCCATCCAGACCATGCCCATCGTCTCCACGTCCGCCTCCCCTCTGGCACAGACCATCCCCATGCTCTTCTCCCTCCCCGTCATCTCCACGCCCGCCTCCCCTCCCCTCCGGTACAGACCATCCCCATGCTCTTCTCCCTCCCCATCTCCATCGTTTCCACGCCCATCTCCCCTCCAGTACAGACCACCCACATGCTCTTCCCCCTCCCCGTCTCCATCGTCTCCACGCCCATCTCCCCTCCGGTACAAACCATCCCCATGCTCTTCTCCCTCCCCGTCTCCATCGTTTCGACGCCCGCCTCCCCTCCGGTACAGACCATCCCCATGCTCTTCTCCCTCCCCGTCTCCATCGTCTCCACGCCCATCTCGATCGTTTCGCGTCCGTTTTCCTGGACTTTCCCGTTCCGTTAATAATCGCTTGATCACTAAACAAACGGTTGCTTGCCGTTTGTTTAGTGAAACGAATCATAAACCATCAGTAACATAAAATACATTAAAAAGTGGAGCAGCAAGACGACATGAGGGTTACGTGTTGTGTTTATCTTACAGCTTGATACATCTGTCACACCGAGGAGCGTTTAGACTCAAATTCACCTTCCCAGTCCGTTAACCCCAGTTCCACACAACGCCCCACTGAATTCCGCTCAACAGTTTCGTCGAAAAACTGAAGCATAAAAATAATTAAACCAATTAAACACACAAAACACAGCACCCATCAGGAAAAGGATTCTCACCCGACGAAATGACAAACGCATCCAACTATTTCGGATCGCAGTATTTTAACACTACGCGCATTTATTAATTTCATTTAACATGAAACATCGAATAAAGCAGGCATTATTTTCGTTACAACCGAGCTGCCTCCACTCTTCATCACCATCTTGCTCTTTAAACCCAAACAAACCCATAGAGCTGTCTGTCTCTGCGGAACCAAAGCAAACCGCATCCCTATTGGCTACGACGAAACGACCATCGGCGGAGGAGTAACGAGGAAGGTGATTGGCTGAAGAGCGAAGTGACTGAATAATAAATATAGTCAGGTGTGTTTAAATGCTAAATGCTCTATGTTGAAATACTATTGGATTTAAAGTTTTGTATTCCTAGTTTGTCACAGTCCTGTCACTGTTTATTTTGGTACAGTTTTATGTTTATTATAAACGCTATTGAAATACCTTAATTGAAGATTATTTATATGTTATGCTGTTCTTCATACAATCATTTTTTATGAAGTGACTTTTTAAGGAAATGTGTAAATATACCAAAGAGATTTCGGCTGCGAAAGGCAGCCATCTGCTTTCTCTGATAAAAACAATAGTCTTTAGGAGTGAAGAGGGACACTTCACCGTTTCGGCCGGGTGAATTGCTGCTCAATGATTTTTATTCTTTTAGGGGACAGTGATGTGGAGAGGGGTTCAATAGACCTATTTGCCATAACGAAAAATATGCATTGGAGGATGCGGGCATCGATCCCGCTACCTCTCGCATGCTAAGCGAGCGCTCTACCATTTGAGCTAATCCCCCCTTCGCTGAAGCAGCCCCCTCACATTTATCTATAAGCTTCATTTCTTTATGAGCGTCATTTTGGTCTATTAGTAAGTGTGTATTTGTTGCTACTAAATAGATAATAATGCATATAAAATTCTACCCCTTAAAAAGGGGGTGATCAATCAAAAAACTGAAAAGATGAGTCCTTCGAGCCGGATTCGAACCAGCGACCTAAGGATGTCAACGACATATTCCTCTACAGTCCTCCGCTCTACCAACTGAGCTATCGAAGGCTCCCGCTCCCTATATTCAACTGTCCCGTTTTCACTGGTTCCAAGGTTTTGCTTGTTATATTTAAAGGTGCGTTATATTAAGGATCTGTCACCCATAAATTGTCTAATCGGTGATTGTTATGATTCCGTCTTTCATAACTTATACAAGACGTCCAAGAGAACTCGGGGGTTGCAATTACTTCACCATCACACCCTGTTCGGCTATGGGGGATAGAGGATAGACAGGTCATTTACCTACAACGTGACGGGGCCAAGGCGTCAGACTGGCAATATGCATATACACATCTATAAATTAATACACTTTCATAGTACAAGGCACTCCCCCGGTTACGAACGAGATTCGTTCCTAAGTCTGTCTTATCGCAACAGGTACATACCGTTCATTTTTAGCGTCGCAGTTAGTCAAATGCCTTTTTTTTAGTATATAGTATCTATATTTTCCATTTAAAACGTAAACACTTCCAAATACATTAAAACAGCTTAAACATAACAATGCAGTGCATAATAATATCCACCCATTTTCTGTGATCACTTGTCCTTTTTTGGGTCGTGAGGGGTCGGGATCTTGGAAGCTACAGGCACAAGATAGTGAACAACCCAAGGGCCAGTATCCCGAAGCTGGTTGAACAAAGTCAGGCTTCGAAGACAAGTTCCAGTTTGACTAAACCAAATAAATGCAATCCAAGATTAACAGTATCACAACACTGCCTATCAGCAATCTATGTCAAGACAGGTTTTCTTTCAAATTCATATTCATAATTAAGCTACAACATCCAAGAAGGAGTGCGATTGCACTCCAATATATCATGGCTGTGATCCCGTTGTAGGATATATTGGAGAACATATTGGAGTGCCTTTGTACAACAGTTCATCTAGCAGCATTTAAAAGTTAATACTAATAAGCCACAACAGATATATGTTTGATTATTTATTTCAACATTTACGGGCCTCTGCAAAAAAAAAAATAGTTCCCACCAGCCAACTTGACTGGTACCAAGCAATGCAGACACTCTTTCTTAACTTTTATTGTAGTATATAATAAATGACACATAATCGAAGTATAAATGACTGTTCCTGGTATGATTATACTTTTTCCACAAATGAGGTTTACACTAAAACTAAAAGTTGTATTTATTTCTTGAACTTTGTACAAATGCTATACTGGGGTGTTGACCATTCCAGTTCAAGTGTTTTCTCGTATAATGGGCACGGCGACGCATTGTACCAGTGCATGCTCCCCAACCTGACCTGACCTGCATGGCTAGGTGCTTGATTTTATACACCTGTGGTAATGGGTCTGAACAAAACACCTGATGTCAATGATTAAGGGGTTGATTCCAATGTCAGTACCATAAACGTACAGCACATTAAAATTGCTGTACTTTTAAACAGTACATTATACTTGATAACTATGTCATTGGTTTATGTAATTACGATATTGTACTTTTAATAGTTTTTTAGGCTATACCATATAACAGGGGTGGCCAATCTTATCCGCAAAAGGCCGGTGTGTATGCGGGTTTTCGCTGCAACTCCCTAGATTACTAGAGGACTGACTGGCTGAAGAGTCCTCACACCTGGGTTTGAACAGCCGACCTACAGGTTATGCCAAAAACTTGCATACACACCGGCCCTTTGCGGATAAGATTGCTCACCCCTGCCATATAGCCTTGGTGTGTATCAGGCTAAGCCATCGATTCTGATGAAACTACACTGTACATACATTATTTCTAAGATGTGTATTTACCATATCATTCTTGCTTTTAGTAAATGTGTTATTTTGTATGACTTGGTAGGTTATTTCTGTCTGAAAACTCTCAAAAAAATGTTCCCATATAATTCATGGTAATTGATTATTCATTTTAAGCCATTTTAGCTTACAAAAGTTTTCATAAGAACATTCCACTGTCGGGTAGCGGGAGGGATCTGTGCTCTTAACGACACTGGTGAAATGCTTCGCTGCAGTTTACCAATGATTCTGAAAGCAAGGACCCATCTTGGACACTAGAGGTAGCATGTGGGTATCAGTTAGCAGTAGAAGGGCTGAAAAGTCTTTATTTATAAACATTTCACATATACAAATTCAAACGATTTCATCTTAAGAGAATTTCCCCAGATACAAACATTTACCTCCTGACATCAGATGATACCTTGCCTTTCATCAAAGCTAGGATTTTAGGGACCTGCCTCAAAGCCCTGTCAAACTCATCATATGTCCTCTGTGATTGAGACTGGGATCTATGTGAGATTGCTGTTGTTCTAAAGGATGCTCAAAATGCTCTACGCAAGGACTGGGGATGCAAACCTAAATCAATTATACTGCACAGAGGTAGGAAATCATTTCTCAACGCCCCATGACAGGAAATACAATGTTCGATTTATACAATATAGTACGCAGCAGCAGTAATGATCTATAATCCAGTGCTTTAAATTGTTGGGCAAAAAAATATTCAAATTTAGTATAACCTTAGTAACCAGCTTCAGAAAAAATAGGGTAATTTCCTTCATAGTCACAAGTCAACAACCTTGAAGTGTCTTGATTTTTAGCACAGGACACTGGTATGATGGGTCCCAGCTGGTTCCCATTTGGCAGTTTAATAACACTGAGTTAGGAAACCTGAATACCTATAAAAAAAAAAAAAAAAAAAACTGTGCACCCAAAAATGATGACAGCACGTAGAAAATAAATGATAAAATTACATGCAATTGACCAAAAAAAAAAAATCTGCTCTGGTATCCCAGAAAGTCCTCACTTGAGCATTGCTAAAAAGACCAGGTGGTTTCGCTCCTTGGAAATGCAGCCTCAGAAATTGGTCCTGTGCACTTATTATAATCTGGACATGAGTTCGACAGCCCGGTTTTTAATCGCAAACGCAGTATCTTGCAGGTAAGTCCAGGTGGAATTGGTGAAGTTTATCACATGATTTTGAACACACTGTAATGATGCTTCACCACTGCAATGAGAAAAAGGGGTAATTATGACAGATACAGTGACCCGATGCAATGAAGACAAACCAATCAAACTAGCATGTAAACACTGAGAAATTGAAGAAAACATCTGAAAATTATTCAAGAAAACATACAAAACTGTTATTATATCCGCCATGTAATACAGGTAGCAAAAAGGTATGTACTTACTTGCAAGAGTCTACAAACTTCTGCCAGCAATGTTCGAGTGCTGCTTTGAGATGCATCATGGCTGGAAGGATGTAGTTCACATGGACGAAGAGCAGAAGTTCCTTCAGATACTCGATAAACTGGAAAACACCTTCTGGGATGTTGGCGTTGAGCTGTAAGAGGGAATGACAAGATGACCATGTGAGCCTGAGAATCAGTGTGCCATTCGCCAATGTGCCAGCGAGCGGTTCCTTTTACCCATTCAACAAAGTGCGGGCCATTCTCCCTGAACCACAGGACCAAGTCTGAACAGAACTCGGTGATGAAGACAGCGGCGGTCCTGGACTTCTCCCAGGCCACATGCAAGATGGGTCCCACAGCAGCAACGGCTTCCGAATAGTAAAACGGAGCGTTTGTCTCGATCCAACTGCAACGAGATGGTGTAACTCAGCCACGTTCTTAGCAGCTCAGACAGGTTATTTGCTGCTTAACGGTTTACTTTTTCCCCAAAATGAGATGTAGAGTGTCGGCCAACATAGCATTCAGAAGGTGATACCAAACTCACCGGAACTGGCTAAGCTGAACATGTTCAGATGGCCCCTAGTGCTACATTTCACACACGTGTTAAATCTCCAGGTGACTGAGACTTTGGCGTAACCGTCACAGAACAAACCTGAAGCCCGTCTGGAGGGAGTGAGACGTGCGGGTCCATGCCTGCTGACAGAGTGGCGACACCCCCGAGCTCTGCAGGTATCTTGCTGTGGTAGATGCTGCAGATTAAAACACAGCATCATGTTAGAAGGGAGCATTGCATTCAGGCATTTTCAGAGACGTCAGCGTGTCCAACTGCAGCACAATACTAACTGCTGTGAGGACCCCATGATGTCCGACTTTACAGAATCCACTCGAACACCCAGAACCATGGTAGTAAATGTATGCCTACCTTTAAACGACCCATGTGACCTGATGTCATGGACCATGAAGCCCGTCGTGAAAACCAGGACGGCGAGAATCAGTCGCCACCAGGGGAAATGCCGGCCTCGCATCTTCTGCTGCAGGCCCTGAGCACGGAAGGAGATGAGGCTCAGGTCAGGAGGATGAGCATCGGCATGCAGACACCCAACACAACGCAGGGACGGGGGCACTCACACTGCATAGTGTGTTACACTCCCTGACCTCCTGGGAGCGCCCACAGTTCCTCATCTCCTCATTGGTCACCTTGAAGGACTGAATCGTTTCCTGCAAGCGTCTGCGGAGCTTTAAAAACAAACAAAAAAAAGCAAAATAAATGTACATTACTACAAAAGTTGACTGTAATTGCACATACCCACAGGGCAGATTTGTATAAAGTACAGACTTACATTTTGTGATAAACTGCCCCACGATTGAGATAAACTGTTTAACAGCAGGCTGTAGACAGAGAAAAACCCTCCAGTCAGTGGTGTTCAGGCAGAATTAAGACGACAAACCCCTTAAAGTGACAAAAGGACACAGCTGAACTCTTTCATTATGGAGCGAGCGCCCTACACACCCCCCTTGTGCGGATTATCGATCACCGCAAGCGCCATGACACACGCGGCTAACCACATCCAGACCCGGGCCTCACCCCGACTGCGGCAGGTGTTTCGGGTACAGCTGCCTCCACACGGCCAGGCTCTGCGGGTCCAGGGACAGGCACTCCGTCATGCTGCTGAGGAGCTGGGGACGAGAGTGGACACATGAGGGCCCACCGCCACCACCCCACCGAGGACCACCGCCCCCCACGGGAGGAGCAGCATGCCTCCGACACACTGACAGCTGATATTTTGGTAAAAATATTATATTAGTGAATTTTGGTTGATCTACATTTCATTCTTCTTACTTTGCGCAATACTGCACTATGCTGACAAGATTTACAGAGATTACCAGAAATAGACCGTTTCTCAACCCAGTCCTCAGGGACCCCCCAGGAGGTCTACGTTTTTGCTCCCTCCCAACTCCCAGGGAGACAGCAAAGACATGGACCATCTGGAGGCTTTAAGGAAAGTGTAGCATGCTAATTAACACAAGGCGAGGGCGGAGAGGCAGATGTGTATAGAACTGCCTTCCAGTTAAACTTTTTATCACTGTATAGGATTTACATTTGTATTTTCGATGTAAAGTTTGTAATGGTTTCACTAAGTTTGGGATCGTGAACACAATATTCAGCAGCGGAACATGCATCAGCCATAAGGCCCAACTGCATTTAGATTTGGATGTAGAACCCGACACCCACCTCTCTTTTCATGTCATCGGGGCAGTGTGGCGTGGCTCTGGACAGGAATGAGGGCAAGTATGTGTGCAGCGTGTTCTCTGGCTTGGCCCCGAACGCCAATACTTTGAGCCGGGGGTAGAGGCGACGCAACTGCTCCTGCAGGCTGGCACACCGGCTAGGAGTCAGCCTCATCGTGCGGGAACACACACACACACACACACAGCCCAGGATGTGAGGTGCGGCATAAACAGCTTACCTGGGAGACAGTGCGTTTTTGGGCATGAAGGCAAAATCTAGCAGAGGGAAGAACTCCTTTGGCCCCAGGATCCCGAAGCCTTTGCTCAAGTTGGCATGTAACCTGGAACAGATGGCAGGTAGACATTTCACAGCAGGCCTGGTAAACATGGAGTGCATGTGGGCCCTTGTCTGAAGCACACAGACGTACAGCCATGGCCATCCGGACAGCATCAAGTCAATCCGTGCCCCGCTAAGCACAAGCAGGGCAGTGTATGGGTAGCATGCTAATGCTTATGGCTTATGGCCCGTGAAGGGCCGGTGTGTATGCGGGTATTCGCTGCAGCTCCCTAATTAGATTACTAATTAGAGGACTGATTGGCTGAACAGTCCTCACACCTGGGTTTGAACAGCTGACCTAAAGGTTACCCCAAAAACCTGCATACACACCGGCCCTTTGCGGGTAAGATTGCCCACCGCTGGCTTATGGTAAAGTGGATATGCACTCACATGAGGAGCCTTTCCAGATATGCGATGGCGTAGGACGACAGGGCCTTCACGCCTAGGACCGGCAGCATGACGCCCAGCCACACTGAAAGACAGGAGTGACATCTCTGACACAGCCGGGATGCGGGCCAAGCGGCCTTGCGGAATTAAGCCACAGGGTGACTTGCGCCAATGGTGCATTTCAACACTGGTTTTGCAAAAGTCAGCAGGACCTAACAGCACCCTGACGGTGACACAGGCCGAGGGCTGACTCATCAGCGTCTGGGATCGAGGAACAGAGGGCAGCACGGCCAGCTGGGGATTAGGAGGCACCCTTTGGCCTGGAGGCACCAACGGCCATTAGAAGAAAAGCTGGTGTTGGACTGCACTGACCACACAAAGACACTGAATGCAAATGACACTGAAGGTAGGACCGTCCTACCTGTGTGACCCTCAATAAAATCTGTACTCTCACAGAGCTAAATACTGTTTCACTGTCTGTTAGCTACAATCAGATAGGATTCAAGGGCACAGCTGACAGGAAAGGGTGTTTTCTGCGATTCGTTAGATCTGATCTTGGTGCTGCCGTGTATATTACTACACACAACCGTAAACACCAGGACTATTGGCCAAACTAGCTCTGTGACCACAGCTGGCTCAGCCTTTCCCAGACTTTCACAAAGCGCTGGCTCACCCCTGAGTCCCTGGCTGAGGTCCGTGAAGCCCGCCTGGCCCAGGGCCCACATGATGGTCAGGCACTTCATGGGTCGGTTCTGCTGAGACCTGAGCAGCTCCAAGTGCTGCAGAGTGCAAGGAAAGCATTCGGTCAGGTTCCTGTAAATGGCCGCGTGCTTTGACACAGCCAGGACACAGCATTGCAGCTAAAAGCATGTGTTTCACGGTGTATTTCATGTTCAAAGAGCACAGTGCCTCACTCTCAGAGACACTCCTGCTCATCTGCGTGATGCACTCACCTCTGCCAGGTTCATCGTGGCTATTTTGGGTTTGTCCATCATTATGGCTTGGATGCAGATCCTGTAACCATGCAGGGGTTCACCTGCCAAAGAACAAAACAGGTGAGGTGATGCTGACAGCCAGGATCTAGCGACAGCATTTATACGATCCCCTCCCCAGGTATACTACACCACACATTTAAGTTCTGAAAATGGACCACCCACCAGCGGCAAAAAAAAAAGAAAAAGTTCACCTGAGGGTTTGTCCAACTCTCGCAGCATCGTGTAAATGCAGTGATCGAAGAAATCCTGCAGCGAGTCAGAACAGCGCCCCAGCAGCCTCTTAATCACGCCCCTCAGCTCCTTGGAAACCAGGCAGTATGGGTAATCTGTCCAAGACAGCCGATTGGATGGTGAGAGCCCATTCGCAGAGGACAAAGACATGCCGAGAACATCCTCTTCACAGCTGTCACTGCACGTCATAAGGCTGAAACATACACTAAAGCTGGGACACTGTATTGTGCATCAAATTTTTTTTATATCAACCCACGGACACTTGGAGACTTTAAAATAACTGTCAAAATCACCACCCTGCACCAGCCATTGTGTGTATGTACTGTAATATGCCACATATTAGCTCTCAGCGAGCAGCAGAAATAGCATCAACACCTGGGTGAGGAACATATATGCTTCAGCTTTAACAAGAGTCCATGCCAATGTGGCCTCACCTCTATATTCACAATGCAGATCAGTACTGAAAGCAAAAAATTCTACAGAGAACCAATTTAATCTTCTGCTAAACAATCAACAGTGATCAGGAGACACAGGGTGGTGTCGTCATGCTCTGGGGCAACATGAGCAGCGTCTCAGAACTGGGCTTTTTAAGCACGCAAATGTCACAGCAAGTGAACCCAACACCCACACTCACATTCAGTGCTCAGGCCAGAACAGCTGCTATAGTGAGGCTGCCACCAGAAACACTGTTAGAGAACGAGAGAGAGAGACAATGTAGCACACTAACTGACCATAAGAGTGGTTACTCAGAGTGGGCTCCACCTCAGGGGCCTGCAGTTTGTAGTTGAGGTATCCAGCCAGGTCCTTCACCCAGACAGAGGGGTTTTCAGGAAAGAGAGTCTCACTCTTCTCCAGCTGCTGTTGGAGCTCCGGAACGTCAAACTGCGACACACACGCACAGAGTCAGATGAGCATTTCAGAATGCAAGTAGAGAAAGAGAGAAGATTCCCGCAGAGTGAAAAGAGAATCAGCAAACTGACTCACTGCTTTCAAAGCTTCCTCAAGGGATTTAAAGTGGTCTGGCTTCTGCACGGCCCCATTTGTGTGAGACTTTTTTGAGTTCTTCCCTGCACCCTGCTTCTTCTGCTGCTGCTCGGGAGACGGCGCTGGAGGGACCTGCTCCTTGTTCTTCTTCTTCGTCCCCATCTTCTCGAAACCCTCGTAGATGGTTTCAGACATCTTCAGTGGAGCTGTGTTATATTTCAAAGAATAAAAGGTGTCAGGCTTGTATGAAGATCATCAGGAAGCAGCCTGGACTTGTGCAAACGCAGTGCTCGTTTGGGACTGACTGCTTGGCACTGCTCTGTCGCTTTAGCTTCACAACCCGCTACCCACAATCTTGGACTGAAACTGATCTAGTTCTGAAGCAACATCTGGAAGCATTGAAAGCAAGTATTATAAAGGTCATAGCAGAAAGGGGCGGAATAGCATTCTGTGCCCAGCAGGACACACGTACATGACTTAACTGTCAGCAGCACCATTTTTGGGGTGTTAGGGCACCAGAGAAACCTGAATTCTACTTACATCTAGGAACACATCCATGGTGCCTAGCCACGTAAACTCGGAAGATCACCGTCTCATTAAAGCCAACTGTAAACTTAAAATGTAAAAGTAAATAAAACTTTATAAATGAGACGATGTGTTGCATGGGTAACAGTAGGAGTGATTCCAGAGAAGCCAGCTTTGAGCTGACCTTTGCGGTGTGAAAACTAACCACCTCGACAATATCTGCGTGCAAATAAAAAGACGACTAGATACAGAACCAAGAAGAGGGTCAAAAGCGAGACGAGCCTTTAGCCGAAGCTGCCCTAGAACCGCAGACGAGACAAACCGACTTGGGATCCGGCCCGGTGACCGTATTCTCGGCTCGGAGAAAACCGAGCGACAACCTGCGACTAAACAGCCACCGACAACGGGCGGCCAAAATGCCCCTGATAGCCGTTAGCCCAGCAGCTAGCTACAGCTGGTTGTTTGTCAGAAACCTCTAACCAGGAATCGACCTCGCCGTGGCTCTGACATCATATTCAGCAAGTTACAACGCGGTTTGTTCGAGCGCTTCAGATGGTGGTTTGGATAATAATCTGAAGCTGGATAAGTATTCAAAGCGTTAAACCAGTCGGTTAGCCGTCCAAATACGTAGCAGTTATGTTGCACATAAAACTCAGAAGCTATAACACATTATCATTATTATTATTATTATTATATTATTATTATTATACAACTATAAGGAAGATTGGTAGAAGAGCGCGCCCCTTCCCTTCCCTTCCCTTCCCTTCCCTTCTCTAGCCCCAGCCGCCACCGAGCGCTTAGCCGCTAGCCGACATCTGGGGACTCACGCGCCGGGTCGATCCTCGGCATATTAGACTCGCCGAGCGCTTTCCTCCCACCCGATTTCTTGTCAGGCTGACTCTTTCCCGCTGCGCTGTTGCTGTGCTTCTTGTTCTTCTTCACCACCTCCCATTTACCGACTGAAGCCATTTTTCCAGGATTTAAAGGCGGCTAAGCTTCTGAAGGGCTCGCGGAACTGGATCTATTAGCAGTACGGGGCTAAGCTAACACATCAAGATAGAAAAGAAGGCTACGTCTGTTTAAGCGGACGCTGCCACGTCTCCCAAGCGCCGTGATATCATCGAGGCGCGCCGCCAGCTGATTCCGTATTTTTGAAGGGCTGCGGCTTTATCCCACTCTGACGGCCTGATTTACTATGCAGCTTTGGTATACTACAGGACATTTTTACTTTTACATTTTGGGTTTCGATGAAGGGTTTAATTATTTGAGTATTTTCTGGCCGGTAATGTCAGTATGTATAGGTAGATTTATAATGTACTTATTTACCAGAAGTTTTTGTTTAGAGTGAGAATCAGAGAGTAGGGTCAGCCACTCCCTGGAGCATTTGGGGTTAAAGGCCTTGATCAAGGGGCCAGCAGGCAAATCACAGCAGGCTAGCCACAGGATTTGAACCAGTGACCTATGGATTACAGGTACAGCCCTAACTAACAGAAGTACACACCAGCCCAGTCCTTGTCTGTAGTTCAGCTGTTTCAGTCTCACATCTTTGGATTATCTTTTTATTTATACAATGCAGAACTGTGTTCGTTTAGTAGCTCTACACAACCAAGTGCACTGGGTAAATTAACCATAGGCCTGTTTGAAGATGTTAAGTGACACTTCTGTGAATTTCCTTCCATATTCCCTGTTTTGTATTTGGGTAGCACATTGTGTAGTGGTGATGCCTCAGACTTCCAGTGTTGGGGGTTCAAATGCTACATCATCTTTCTGCATGCATGTAGAGCTTGCATGTTCTCCCCATGCCTTGTGAGTCTCTTTCCAAGAGTTCAAAGACACACACGTTAGTGAATCTAAATTGCCAGTAGTCTGTGCGTGTGACATGTGAGGGACTATAATCCCATCCAGGATGTACCTTAACCTTTCAAAGTTTTTTATTGTCACATATATTTGGGTAACACGGTGAAATTTAAATGGCAAAGTTGCAGGTGGGGGGACAGGATGGACAGCAATGCAATACTAGACTGCATTATAAGTATAGAAAGACATGACAAAACGGGGTGACATGCCTCTGGGATGCAGTGGTTGTGGGATGCTTAGCCAGGTCAGGTACACGTCACTGGTTGTTCAGCAACCTCATGACTTACGTAAAGACTAGCTGTTTAATTTAGAATTGAGTTTAACGTTTCATTTGTTTTTAATGCAATTCATGGCGTAAGTCACCAGTACATCTCAGTGTCGTAGACCAGCCAATCCCTGTTCATTCCTTGGGCATGGTTGAAATCAAAAGGTCACTGTGCCTTTGCCATTTTGCTGCACCCTGGTTATGGGATGCCTACCACTGCATCTGAGATTATCCCCAAACATCAATACTTTTAAATGTTGTTTAAAAACATACTTTTACTCTCTGACCTTTGGTTGTGTTTGATCTTAATTTTATGTTATTTTCTGTGCCATGTTGTTCAGTGTCTCTGCTTTTATTATGTATTTTGATTATTGTATTTTTATATACAGGATTTGTGAAAGTTAGATTGATTTGTGATATGGACACCCAGGAACCTTAGTTCCATTTATGAAGATACCCTATGCTGCCTGGGACAGCTCCAGGTGGCCAAAGTAGCTGGTTGAAAGATGGATGGATGTTCTGTGTTTTGAAAGAGCGCCTGACACTGAGCCCATAAACCCATGATCACTGTTTACATTCAGCTTATACTGTCTGAACTGTCGGTGCATTCCTCAGGTCTCTTGCTTACATTGCACAGCACAATCACTTTGACCACGTCACTTATGTATACATTATGTACAGCTGAACATATTTCATATATTTTTATTTTTTATTATCTTTATATTTTATTATTCTCTTATGCACAGCTGTTCGGAGTGACCATTGTGTATGGGATGAATAAACCTCTTGAATCTTGACACTTTTCCCCTGAATTCAAATGATTAATAAGTTTACACACAGTCCTGAATGTGATATGTGCTCTGCTATAATCAGGGGCTTCCTGAAAGGAAAATCTGTATAAGCCAGGATCGGATCACTTACAAGGTCAGTTACACAGTTCCATAGAATCAGATAAGCCAATGCACCACAATGCAGATTCCAACCAAAACAGCACAGTCACATAATCGAGACGTTTTTTTTTTTTTATATAGGCAACACTGACATCGAAAAGCACAAGGATTTGGGAGTCGGTGGCTGGTTCTCACACAAGTTTATTTATGTTGTAAAACTCAAAATAGATGCATGGTCACATAAAATCAGTCAGACGGCTGGTGTGAGAATGGTAACATGCCCAAGGAACCATGCAATTGGTTCCTACAACCAGCAGGGGGTGTGCATGCTCTGCAACTGTCCATGCATCACTTTTTATTGCACTAAAGCAGGGGTGTCAAACTCCATTCCTGCGGGGCAGGAGCCCTGTGTAGCTTAGTTCTTTCCCTGTTCCGCCACAAATGATTCGGCTAAAGAGCTGTGTGATAATTAGCACAAGGAGTTGAACCTGGTGTGTTAAATGAGGGGAAACCCAAAAATGTGCAGGGCTCCGGCCCCCCAGGACTGGAGTCTGACACCCCTGCACTAAAGCCTCTGAATCCAGCTTCTCATTTCAACTTAGAACCTGTGTGGTTATTAATAGGTATATTTTTAACAATTCAAAAAAGGAAAATAAAAATAGCAGCTAAAATCAGTGTTATAAAGTCAGCTACACAAGCAATCTTATCGTTTCAAGGTTTTAATGCAGGGTTCCTCAACTCCGGTCCTGGACGGTCAATCTGTCAAGATTTCCTTGCTCAAACACACATATTAAACCTGGCAATTAGCTGAACAAGGTATGTTTGAGCAGGGAAATCTGCAAACTGTGTTGCACGACTGGCCTTAAATGACCGGAATTGGAGAACCCTGTTATAGTAATTTGTTACACAGTTATGATTTAAAAGCTTCTCAGTATCTGACTCTCCTCGCCTTTAAAATAAACTTCATAGCTACTTTGCTGCAGTTCTGGGTCTACAGTAAAAATTAGGTGTCAATAATGAACACCATTTTCCAAACTTCACATTTATCATCAGTAAATAATAATAAACCTCTGTCTGTGGACCAAATTTCCATATATATTCCAACAATTCTATATATAAATAGTTATAAAAATATATGACTATCTTTGTTCTATTTTATCTGCAAGCTCCATCTTGATATGCAGGAAAAAAAACCTGACATTTCAAAACCAATCAGCATCTTTCGTTTGTCACTGTTGTCAACATCAGTGAATTAAGTGCATTGTTTCATTTTCCGAAATCAAGTCAAACCAACAAAAGCAACAATCCTCACACTAACTTTCAAACAAACATCAGCCCTTTAACAGAGTCATCAGTCTCCAGTGCTATTTTCCCGTAAGTTATTTTTCAGGTATTCATCTTAAAATAGTATTGAAAGGATCTGGGAAGGCATTTAAAAACCACTTCAATGTACATTTTGGTGCAGAGAAGCTGTGTTATGCAACATTATGGACACTCTTACTTTGGGGGTGGGGGGACAAAGTGTCAGGGTACTGGGATAACTGGGACAGGTTACAGGAATCAGGGAGAGGTCTACAAAACCAGGCAATATAGTAGCTGCTGTCCAGGATCGACAGCTCCGAAAGTGACCTGACTGCAGCAGCACCTCAGTAAGGCTGCCGGTCATTCGATCCCACACCACGCTGAAGTGGCTGGGAATGGATATTAATGTTACTCTGTGACTGCATGGGTTGGGGGGGCGGGAGTTGGTCCGGTAGGCTGGTCAACACCAGGATCAGAGTGTGGCGGCTGTAGAGACCTAGGGAAGTGAGAGAGTCAGAAGATAAGAGCAGAGACGACACAAGATGACCGAGAGGTAGGGAGAGGCAGACAGAAAGCATACAGGATAAGGAGAAGCATTTAGTATTCATTATGGTCCTCGTGTGACTGTTCATCAATGTCCTCATCTTCAGGTACAACAAAGCCATCCTGAAACAGAGGAAAATTCATTCAAGCAGTTCGGTATAACCAGCCTGAAAAAAACAACTGTAGCTGTACATGGTGATGTTAGACTGTCGAATTCAGCTCCTTCCCAGAACGGCCATGCACTTGGGATTTGCCTCAAAGTGATTTATTGCAAGGATGAAGATGAAAGGTAATGATCACACAAGGAAGGCAAACAGGGTGTCATTCTCAGACCAAACTGGAGAGGCAGTCATTCAGCCAGTTAGACAGTCAGTCAGAGAGACAGACAGACATGGTTTATTAATCCCTGGAGGTGCAGTTTCACCCACGAAGATAACATTTTCAGTGACTGGGGGCCTCATATGTGTTGTTTTAAACTCCTGTTTCCATCAGCACAGTAAATGGGGGAAGTGGACATCTCAGGAAGGGGAATCATGTGACTAAGTCCATCCATTCACTCTCCCTCCACCCGCCATGTTTCCCTTCCTATCAGCTCACTCTCTATCC